GGCAGCTCCTCTTTACTCAGAGGACTCCCTAGAGGATGCAGGCTTTTTTCCCAGGCCCTGGATGTGTGAGACTGCTGGAGAGAGACAGCAGAAGAGAGGTGTGAGTCTGTGACCCTGAGGAGGACATGAGGCAGGACAGGACTCCCTGGGAAATCTGAGAAGGTCAGGAAGGAGACAGAGGAGGAAGAACCAAGTTCCCAAGGGAGACTCGGGTATCCAGTGGGGCACGGCAGGGCAAGGTCTGACCAAGGTGCTGGGGAGGGAAGAGGTTGAATTCTGGTTTAGAGGAGACTCAGGGACATGGGGCCCCATGTGCTCTATTATCTGTCATTCCTGTCCACTCCTAGCTGGGTTCTGGGGGGAACCAGATGAGAGGCACAGAGCCGGCTCCTTGCTGAGTCTGGATTCATCCAGCCATGGCGGCTCAGCCTCAGTGGCAAGTAACTGCGTCCATCGGCTACTTGGTCAGGCATGGAACTTAGAGCTCTGACCTGCTATGACAGCCCAACAAGGGCATGGCCTTCAGGGGCTCCTGGTCTCATGGGAGACCCAGGCAATGGACAGGGACCCAGAAAAGGGTTTGCATCCAGCCGAGAGCTGGGGCAAAAATGCAATACTGACCCTGACTGGGCCGAAGACACGTAGAGACCAAAAGCATCAGAACTGGGGGTGGTGACTGAGGGGTGGAGGTTCATAAGAGAGGCTGAAGATGTGGCCTCAGCAAGAGGCTGAGGGTCTGACATCATAGGCCATCGAGGACGTGGGGCCTTCTATCTGGGCACAATGAGTAGGAAGGGATTTTGATGGCTGCCATGGGAGAGGGGAGAGCAGCTACCCAGTTCCCTCCTTGCTCATGGCCTGCTCTGGTCTCTGTCCCCAGCCCTCCCCTTCAAGGTGGTGGTGATCTCAGCCATCCTGGCCTTGGTGGTTCTCACAATCATCTCCCTCATCATCCTCATCATGCTCTGGCAGAAGGTGAGTCCCATTCTGGCATAGGGGGTAGGGGTTGGTACCCTTGGTTTGCATGTCTCCACCCCATGCTGCAGGATCTGGCCATAGGTGGGCCCAGCATGGAGCTCAGGGTCTCTGAGCTGCCTCCACCCCCAGCAGCCTGGGCTGCAACAGGGTCCCTTGGTGCTGCTGAGCTCTAACCCCAGGTCCTGCTTGTCCCAGTCACCCATGAAGACTCTCATGGATGTGTTCAGATCCTCTTAACTAGTCTATGAGTGCAATGTTATGTCCTGAAATTTCACCACAAAAAAATTAAAAAATTAAAATTATTGTCCCCCATGCTTCCCTCATTCTGAGTCCTATCTTATAAATTCTGCATCCCAAATTTCAACATTCAAAAGTTCCATCCTTCTGCGATTCCCTCAGGGATGACTTCATGTTGGGAGGGACCATGTTCAGGCTGCCTGCTCCTCCACTCCCACCTGAGAAGCCACAGAGGCTCCAAGAGAGGCAGCTGAGGTTGTTCTGATGAGCCAGGCCCCTGGCTGTCAGCTGCTCCTCAGCCTGTCACAGCCCGATGGCTCCTCTGCCACCCCCTCCTCCCACTGGAGCCCCTGGGTACCTATCCCTGAGCCATGAAGGCCTTGACTTGCTGTGCCACTTAGTTTGGCCCTGCCCCTCTTGGGCCTCAGGGCCCACTGCCTCCTTGGCCCTCTGAGTCTGAACCTAGTGAGTTCAAGTGCAGAGAGCCTGTCTGATGCGGTGGTCCTGGTCCTGCAGAAGCCACGCTATGAGATTCGATGGAAGGTGATTGAGTCTGTGAGCTCTGATGGCCATGAGTACATCTATGTGGACCCCATGCAGCTGCCCTACGATTCCACCTGGGAACTGCCACGGGACCAGCTTGTGCTTGGTCAGTCCTGGGAAGCCCCACCTGGCAGTTTGGGGACTTGAAGTGGAGGCCAGCCTCTCTTGGGTCTGGTCTCAGCCTGGCCATGACAAGCTATGGGACCTGGGGCTGGTATCTTGCCTTCCCCACCCCTCAGTCTCCTCCTCTGCAAAATGAGGTCAAGAGGAGCCCCAGGGACTCCCCAGCTTTGAGTCCTGTGAGCCTGAGACTTGAGATAGGACCCTCCATGGCAGGAAGCACGAAGACAGGTCTGGTGCCAGCCTGTGCTTCATCTAGTTAGGGAGGCTGAAGGGGTGTGGGGAGCTGTGTTCCCATGGGGAGGAGGAAGGCACGTAGGGACTCAAGCTGGGGCAGAGAGCAGGCAGGACTTTGAGGAGACACCAGGAAAGATTGGGGATCAGTATGGAGCCTTTTGAGGGGAGCACATTAAGTCCAGAGGGATTTGAGGGATGTGTAGGTTGACCTAAGAGAGTGGCTCTTCCCCACCCCTGGGTGGGAAAGGGGAGTACAGGTTCCTGGTGGTCTAGGAACTGAGAGATCCTCTCATTCCAGGATGTAACCTTGGCTCTAGGGCCTTCAGGCAGGTGGTGGAGGTGGTCTTCAGGCAGGTGGCTCACGGTTCACGGCCGTGGCCTCCACCACCTAAGCCATTCCCAGGCCACCATGAAAGTGGCTGTCAAGATGCTGAAATGTCACTGATATACAGAAATGCCTTTGATTTATGGCATCTCTGTATATCAGTGACAAATCCTCAGAAAAGGAAATGAGGAGGGGCTGGGTTTTTAGCTCAGTGGTAGAGAGCTCGCTTAGTGTGCATGAGGCACTGGGTTCAATCCTCAGCACCACATAAATGTAAAATAAAGACATTGTGTCCACTTAAACCAAAAAATAAATTAAAGGAAAAAGAAATGAGGAAAACTACTTCATTTTCAATAGCCTCAAAAACATTAAATAAAATACTTGGAAATCAACTTAGTGAAAGATCTATACAATGAAAACTACAGAACCCTAAAGAGAGAAATCAAAGAAGACCTTAGAAGATGGAAAGATCTACCTTGCTTTTGGATAGGCAGAATTAATATTATCAAAATTACCATACTTCCAAAAGTACTATTCAGATTTAATGCAATACTGATCAAAATTCTAATGACAGTCCTCATAGAAAGAGAAAAAAGCAATCATGAAATTCATCTGTAAAAATAAGAAACCCCAAATAGTTAAAGCAATCCTTAGCAGGAAGAGTGAAGAAGACCTTAAACTATACTACAGAGCAATAGTAACAAAAACAACATGGTATTGGCACCAAAACAGACTGGTAGAAGAATGGTACAGAATAGAGGACACAGAGACTAACCCACAAAACTACAATTATCTTATATTAGACAAAGTTGCCAAGAACATGCATTAGAGAAAAAATAGCCTCTTCAACAAATGGTGCTGAGAAAACTGGAAATCCATATGCAACAAAATGAAATTAAACCTCTATCTCTCACCATGCACAAAACCCAATTCAAAATGGATCAAGTATTTAGGAATACAACCAGACACCCTGTGTCTAATAGAAGAAAAAGTAGGCCCTAATCTCCATCATCTGGGATTAGGCCCCAACTTCCTTAATAAGACTCCTGTGGTGCAAGAATTAAAATCAAGAATCAATAAATGGGATGAACTCAAACTAAAAAGTTTCTTCTCAGCAAAAGAAACAATCTGAGTGAGGCAAATATAGAATCTATATCTTGGGAGCAAATCTTTACCCCTCACACATCAGATAGAGCACTAATCTCTAGGGTATATAAAGAACTCAAAAAGCTAAACACCAAAAAAACAAATAACCCAAAAAATAAATGGGCCAAGGACCTGAAGAGACACTTCTCAGAAGATGAAATACAATCAATCAACAAATACATGAAAAAATGTTCATCATCATTAGCAATTAGAGAAATACAAATCAAAACCACTCTAAGATTTCATCTCACTCCAGTCAAAATGGCAGCTATTATGCATACAAGCATCAATAAGTGTTGGTGAGGATGTTAGGAAAAAGGCACACTCATACACTGCTGGTGGGACTGCAAATTGGTGCAGCCAAAATGGAAAGCAGTATGGAGATTTCTTGGAAAATTGGGAATGATACCACCATTTGACCCAGCTATCTCTCTCCTTGGCCTATACCCAAAGGACTTAAAACTAGCATACTACAGGGACACAGCCACATCAATGTTTAAAGCAGCACAATACACAATAGCTAAACTGTGGAACCAACCTAGATGCCCTTCAGTGGATGAATGGATAAAAAAAATGTAACATATATACACAATGGAATATTACTCAGCAATAAAAGAGAATAAAATATGGCATTTGCAGGTAAATTGATGGAATTAGAGAAGATAATGCTAAGTGAAGTTAGCCAATCCCAAAAAACCAAATGCTGAATGTTTTCTATGATATAAGGAGGGTGATTCATAGTAGGGTAGGGAACAGGAGCATGGGAGGAATAAATGAACTCTAGATAGGGCAGAGGGGTTGGAGGGGAAGGGAGGGGGCATGGGGTTATTAATGATGGTGGAATGTGATGATCATTATTATCCAAAGTACAGGTATAAAGACACGAATTGGTGTGAATATACTATGCATACAACCAGAGACATGAAAAATTGTGCTCTATATATGTAATAAGAATTGTAATGCATTCCGCTGTCATATATAAATAAAAAAAAATTTTTTTAAAGATGCTGAAATGTGAGTCCTGGGTGCCTACTCCTTCCTCACACGGGGCCCCACATCCCCTGTTCCTTCTGTCCTCTCCCCAAGCATTCAGCCTTTTCCAGAGTCACTGGTTTTGATGTACTGGACACAAGCACTTGTTAGAGTCGGTAAACAAGTCAAAATAACACCTGGCATTTTGCCAGGGGAATGTTAGAGTTCGTAAACAAGTCTGGATGGTGCCTGGCAAAATGCCAGAGGGAGTGGTTTGAGAAGTAACAAAAGCGAGCCATTAAGTGTGGAGATTCCTGATTGGTTGACTGCTGTATCCAGTTTATGTTAATTAGATAAGCTGTGTGGAATGTATAAATACGCTCCTGTCCTACAATAAACGGCTTCCACTCCTGCTGTATCAACAAGTTATTCGTCACCCCCCCCCCCCAGGTTATTTTGCTGCAGCCGGACTGCTGCAAGCACTGGGGTCACACCAGGAGAGGGTCCTCCTGTCCCCTGCTCCCTCCCTCTTTCCCTGCCAGGGTGGGGCACACTCCCCTGCACAGGGCCTGTGGTCTTGCAGCAGCACGGGTGGGGCAGAGGAGCCTGAGTAGCTCCCATGGGGCCTTTAAGAAGCCTCAGTGACCAGCTGAGTCCCTTCCCTGCAGCCACAGCCCGCAGCAGTGAGAAGCAAGCCCTTATGTCAGAGCTGAAGATCATGAGCCACCTGGGGCCCCACCTGAACGTGGTCAACCTGCTGGGGGCCTGCACCCAGGGAGGTAGGAGAGCCACCCCCGGACTCTGGGGAAACGCCCACTGGCTGCCCAGGATGCCCCGACTCCTGCTTCACCTGTGGACACCAGGACAGTGCAGTGTCCCTTCACAGTCCCTTCATAGTCCTAGATGGGTGTGGGATTTGGGAGCCTACAGAGTCACATCTTCATGGCCAGAGGACTTCTCAGGCTTCCAATTCTGGGAGTTTCCAAATCAAAGTGACCTTGGACATTTTTCTATTTTCACAATACCTTTTTTTCTTTTTAAATTAATTTTAAAATTTCATATATGACAGCAGAATACATTACAATTCTTATTACACATACAGAGCACAATTTTTCATATCTCTGATTGTATACAAAGTATATTCATACCAATTCATGTCTTCACACATGTACTTTGCATAATGATGTCCATTGCATTCCACCATCATTTCTAACCCATGCCCCCTCCCTTTCCCTCCACCCCTCTGCCCTATCTAGAGTTCATTTATTCCTCCCATGCTCCTGTTCTCTACCCTACTATGAATCAGCCTCCTTAAATCAGGAAAACACCTGGCATTTGTTTTTTTGGGATTGGCTAACTTCACTTAGCATTATCTTCTCTAACTCCATCCATTTACCTGCAAATGCCATGATTTTATTCTCTTTTATTGCTGAGTAATATTCCATTGTATATATGCACCATATTTTTTTTAGAGAGAGAAAGGGGGGGGGGAGGGAGAGAGAGAGAGAGAGGGAATTTTAATATTTATTTTTTAGTTTTTGGCAGACACAACATCTTTGTTTGTATGTGGTGCTGAGGATTGAACCCGGGCTGCACGCATGCCAGGCGAGCGTGCTACCGCTTGAGCCACAACCCCAGCCCACTCCATATTTTTTTCATCTAATGATCTAGGTTGCTTCCACAGTTTAACTATTCACAATACCTTTTGAAAACTGTGATAAATAATAGCTCATGGGACACTCAGAAGAATCACGTTACCCCATTCCCCTCATTGGAGACCACTAGTGAGCTAATTGGGAGTTGCTTTCTTTCTGATCACAGAAAAAAGTCTATTGGCCTTACTATGTGTATTTGAAGCTCTGATTGCAAGTTGACCTACAACAAAAGAAAAAAATAACATTATTGCCATTTTTAGCTGCTTTGTGAGATTTGGGATTTTCCTCAGGATTGTGTAATCATTCAAAATACAGAAGTATGTTGCATACATAGATGAATTCACATCTGCAATGATCGCTCATTTAAAAAGTTGTGGTTTTTTTTTTTCTTTCTTTTTGGTACTGGGAATTGAACCCAGGGGCACTTTGCCACTGAGTTTCCTCTGCAGCCCTTTTTATTTTATTTTTTTATTTTGAGACTTTTGCTAAGTTGCTGAGGATCTCACCAAGTTGCCGAGATGGGCCTTGATCCTCCTTCTTCAGCCTCCAGAGTAGCTGGAATTACAGGGGTGCTCCTGTGCCTGGCACTCATTTCAAAAGTTTTGTTTTTATCAATATCTTCACTGTCTACTTGTTGACTTTGAGTAAAAGCATTAAATTTGAACATAACCAGTAAACTGATAATGGAGAGCACTTTCCTCTCCCTCTTTACGTATACCAGGTACCAAAATAACCTTAAGTGTGAAAACAGCAGTTGTGCCCTTGTCATGTGCCATGTTTGGTCTCATTAGTTCTTGTGACAGTCCTTTGAGGGGGGTGTTAGTTCACAGATGGGGGAGGGGAGGCCCAGGGAGGTTAAGTATCTGTTGCCTGCAGTCGGAGGCAGGAAGAGGACCCAGGTGTGCCAGGCACCTACCCTCAGCTGTCATGTCCACGACCTCTCCCACATTCAGCCTGTTTATTGGCCCCGTGGCCCTCATGGGAAGCCTGAGGGCCCCTGGGGCCTGTGCCCACCGCCCTCCCCTGCAGGCCCCATCTACATCATCACCGAGTACTGCCGCTATGGCGACCTGGTGGACTACCTGCACCGCAACAAGCACAGCTTCCTGCAGCACCACTCGGACAAGCACCGCCCACCCAGTGCTGAGCTCTACAGCAACGCCCTGCCCACGGGGCTCCCTCTGCCCAGGTAGGAGGAGGCAGCCGCCTGCACAGCCCCCTTGCCCTTGCTCCTGCAGGGGGCAGCTGGGGCCCTGGGGAGGGGGCAGAGTCACTCCTGGTGACTCTTTCTCAAGTCAGGACCATAGACCATAGACCAGGAAAGGCCAGTAGTGATGGGGATAGTGCTGGGCTCTGCTGCCTCCTGCTACCCGCCCCAGTGTGCCAGGCCCTGTGCTCGAGCCCTGTGCTTGAGACCCCTGACCCCACAGCCCTGTGTCCAGGGTGTCGTGGTCTCCTGCCCCAGGGACACTGTGGGCAGAGGCAATCGTGGGCTGAGAGCTGGGCCTCCCGAGGTGCACTGTGGGCCCTGCTCCCCCCACCGTCTCCCCATTCCCTCTACACACACCCCGGTGCCCCTCGGCAGCTCAACTCCTGGTTTCAATGTTTCTGAAAAGAGAAGTTCTCAGTTCTTTTGCTGATTACAAAGACAAGGACAAGGGTAACTTAGATCAGTGTCTGAGACATTGGCATCATCCACTCCTCGCCAGCATTGACCTATTTCCTAGCTGTCTTTAGGCTGCCCACACAGACACCTGTGGACAGCCCACAGCCCCCTGGGGAGTGAGGTTGAAGTCAGAGGTATCAAGGCGATGCCCTGCTGCCCACCCTGGGTCATGGCCAGGCACCTGTGCTGGTGTGCAGGTGTGCTGGTATATACCAAGCTCAGGGTCACAGAGGTTAGTCAAGGGACTGGATCTGTGGTCACTTGTGTTGTAACACACTGAAGGGTCAGGAGTGCATGAGTGAAAGAAGAAATCCGTGAGCGACAGGGCCTCAGGGGTCCCCAGGGTGACCTCGGGGTACGAGGGGGAAGGAAAGAGGAAGCCAGTGACCTTCCTGTTGTGTTCCTCTTACTCCCCAGCCACATGTCCCTGACTGGGGAGAGTGATGGTGGCTATATGGACATGAGCAAGGACGAGTTAGTGGACTACGTGCCCATGCTGGCCATGAAAGGAGACGTCAAATACGCAGACATCGAATCCTCCAACTACATGGCCCCTTATGATAACTACGTTCGCTCCAGTGGGTGGACACAGTGTGCTCAGATCTGCCCAGGCTCACACCCAGGCGGAGACACATTCTTTTCAAAGCCCTTCACACTCCCAGCCTTGCAGCAATCCTGAAGGATGATGGCTTTGCACCCATTTCATGGAAGTGGAAACTGAGGCTGGCCACTTGCCCAAAGCTGCTATATAGTGGGGCCTCCATAAGAACCCCTGTTCTGTTCATAGGTCAGAGGCATGAATAGGCTCTCAGGGAAGGGAAGAACTAGGGTGGGGTTGGGGGCATATCTGGCCTCCTGGAAACTCGAGGAAAAGTGATCAGCTCTGAACTGGCCCCAGACTAGGCTAGTGTTCTGAAGAAACAGGCAGGCAGGGCTAAACTTTTTGTTGTTGTTGTTAGTACTAGGGATTGAACCCAGGGGCTCTCTGCCACTCAGTTCCAATCCCAGTTTGGGGGGTCTTTTGTGTTTTTGTGTTTGTTTGTTTTTGAGACAGGGTCTTATAGAGTTGCTGAGAGTCTTGCTCAGTTGCTGAGACTGGCTTTGAACTTGTGATCCTCTTGCCTTAGCCTGCCAAAAGATGGAATTATAGGCATGAGCCACCATACCCAGCCTAAACTTTTTTTCTGGCTGTTGAAGACACTGGTAAAGAATGAGAGGTTTGGAGCTGGGATTGTGGCTCAGTGGTAGAGCACTTGCCTAGCATGTGTGAGGCACTGGGTTCGATTCTCAGCACCACATATAAATAAGTGGGTAGAAGGGATTCCCAATGGCAAATGAACACCCAGAGCCAGGTGTAGCTGGCCCACCAATGTCTGAAAAAGAAGGAGAGGTTTAGGCTAGACACGAAGCACCATCCCTTCAGGCGAGACCTAGAAGATCAGGAGCCACCTGCCTTGGACATTCAGCCCCACAAGAAAAAAGACAGGGTCCTCTGGGCCACTGGGTACATGAGGTGACCTGTGACTCTCTGCTCTCCCCCAGCTCCTCTGAGGACCTATCAGGCCACTTTGATCAATGAGATCCCAGTGAAGGCCCAGCTCTGTGCACGGGAGCAGGACAGGTAGCCACTAGTGAAGTCGGGATAGGAAAAGGCAAACAATGCCAGGTCCACTCGGCACAGCTGGGGCTGAGGGACAGCTGCAGTGGCCAGGGATGGACAAGAAGGGGGTGTGCAGATCATATCTGTTGACCCAGGAGTGATGGGCAGAGGAAGAAGCCCAAGTGACAAGGTAAAACAAATACGCTGGTCTCAGGTAGTAGTGGGATTGGCTTGGATGAAATGGAACCATCCTGCCTGCCACCATCTCCCTGCTTCCTGCGAACCCCAGAGGTGGAGGGGCTCTAGAGCCCAGGGACCAAATCATCCAGGATGAGAACTGGGAGGTGGCTTGGCGTATCCCTGGCTCCCTCACCCCTTCTTAGACCCAGGGCTTTCCCCCAGGGACAGGGGCCATGTGTCCTTAGCTAATGAGGAGGGAAGACTCCCTGCTGCTGTGGCCAGGAATGGGGTGGAGGTAGGAGCTGTGCAGACCCTGGAGGAGGAGGGGGAAGCAGCTGGCTGTGGAGCTGCTGGAACTCCTCCTCCCACCCAGGTGCAGAGTGGGCTGGGAACTGGCCACTGGCCCCTCTGGGCACTCAGCGCTGCTCCTGCCCCCACAGACCTTCCTGCCTCTGAAGTGGATGGCCCCGGAGAGCATCTTCAACAGCCTCTACACCACCCTGAGCGATGTGTGGTCATTTGGGATCCTGCTCTGGGAGATCTTCACATGACATTCCCCTCCCACCTCCCACCTGCTGGGGCTGTGGGCAGAGTGCTAGGACATGGGCCAGGGGACTTGTGGTGAGTGCTCTGCTCCTTTCTCCCACTGTGCTGCTCTGGCAAGACCCTTGCCCTCTCTGGACCTCTTTACCCCTCTACCCGAGGATCAACGGGAGCCTGCTTGGCTCTGGTGTTCCCAGGTTCTCTGTCCTGAGGAGTGCTGTGTCTCCTGGGAGCCCAGGAAGGACCTCCATTTCCCAATGCCAAGGACACTCCACCCTTCTCCACCAGGACCATCTTGCCTGTCCCTCTGTAGTGGAAGGGGGCACCCTGCTCCTTGTCACACCTGTGTATCCCCGTCTGCTCCTCCACAGGTGGCACCCCTTACCCGGAGCTGCCCATGAACGAGCAGTTCTACAATGCCATCAAGCACGGTGGGAGAGAAAGGGAGAGAGAAGGGAAATTGCATGGAAATGGAAGGAGACCCTCAGGGTTATACAAAATTATATACAAGAGGAAGTGAGGGGAAAGGGAAAAATAATACAAGGGGGAGAAATGAATGACAGTAGAGGGGGCAGAGAGAGAAGAGGGGAGGGGAGGGGAGGGGAGGCGGGATAGTAGAGGATAGGAAAGGCAGCAGAACACAACAGACACTAGTATGGCAACATGTAAATCAATGGATGTGTAACTGATGTGATTCTGCAATCTGTATACGGGGTAAAAATGGGAGTTCATAACCCACTTGAATCAAAGTGTGAAATATGATATATCAAGAACTATGTAATGTTTTGAACAACCAACAATAAAAAATTAAAAAAAATTGTCATGCAAAAAAACACAAAGTATATGTATAAAGGCATGTATCGACGTGAACATGCTTTATATACAGAGATATGAAAAATTATACTCTGTTTGTGTAATAAGAATTGTAATGCATTCCACTGCTGTTGTGTATTTTAAAAAATTGATAAAAGATTAAAAAATAAATTAATTAATTAAGAGGCAGTGTCAAAGAATAGTTTTTAAGAGCTTAATAGGATCTTCCAGTCCTGGTTGGAGCTGGAACAGAACAATTAGAAAATGCCTCTAATGGTTTATTTAAGGGGGTACATTAAAGGCATGGATAGGGTTTCAGGGGTAGAGTCTTGCTTCATGATGTCTTGCAGTCACAGGTTGATTGGCATCTTGGCCTCTCCATCTCTGAGAGGCTGTGTGGCAACCAGGTCACCCCTTCTCCAGGCTGTGTGGGACCAGGCAGAGCTGAATAGGATTCATATGTATCTGGAAGATCTTACCAGCAGGGTTGCCACTGAAACTCCCCAATACCGGATTTTCCTATTCAGTGGACTTCCTTGCTGATTTCGTTCATATATAGTCCATGGATGGCTCTCAACAAGCCCAGGACACTCGGGGCACACTGGCTGTGGACAGGACCCATGTCTTTCAGGCCCCTTTGGTTCTGAGGCTTTTCCTCTTCATCCTCAAGTTACAGGCCCAGCGGATCCTGCATCTGTGACAAATGTGTTGATGTGCCAGCATTATGTCCACATGTGAGCACCAGTAGGTGGCCCTGACTCTGCATTGGACCTGCTGTGACCTTGGAGGAATCCCTTGCCCTCTCTGGGCCCGTTTTCCCCTTTGAAGAATAAATAAGTTGGACTCATTCACTCTGAATGCTCTGTCAACACTAATATTCCAGAATATTCCTGGGTTTTACATGCTTGTCCAGATGAAGCAAGGTCAAGTACCCTAAATCACCTTCCTGGGGGTCTGCTGAGTTCTGAGGAGATTCCAGATGACACATGACACCCGGGCATTCAGGAACGTGACCCTTTCTCTGCCCCAAATGCAGCTGTGTGGACCTTGACTTGGAGTGACAGTCAGTGCTCAGGAAAGCCCCCAGCAGCTGCTCCAGGGACATGGGAGGACCACGAGACCCCCCCTTGAGCACCCACGATGAATTCTGGAAATATCCTGGGCAAGGTGGCAGGGAGGGAGGTCATTACCTCATGCAGCCCAACACTGCCCCCAAGGTATGTTCCACAGAGAGAATGGACAGTAAGGACGATTGTATCCCATGAAGGACAAGAGCCTCAGGATGTGCACCCCAGGAAAGGGGCGTAAGAGGTGGGCACTTTGGGGGTTGCCTCCTTAACTGCCGGCTGCCCCATCCTGGAGGCAGTACCTGGTGGAGTATGGTTTTGTCACTGCCCAGGTCTATTAGTGACACCTCACTGCCTCAAACCAGTGGACATTGGTGGTGCCAGGTCACTGAGGGATATGGCCAAGACACCCAGGAAGCGGAGGGCTGGCCAGGGGGTGAGGGAAGCTCTCCTTCTTGGGCACAGTCCCCATGCTGATTGGCATCTCCCAACCGAGGACCCCAGAGTCTCCCCCAAGGATGGGGAATATGGAGTGAGTGGCAGTCAGAGCTCATCCCTGAACAGATCCCTTCAGCTCTGATCTCATTTCCCTCTTCTGGAAAAGGGATTTTCTCCCACCACATCCCACATGGGCAGTGGAAATGGGGTCCTCCTCAGTGGAATGGTTGGCTGAGAAATAGAAGTTAAGTGAAATAAAACAGCGAAAAAAAAAAAATCACAGAACACAGAAAGTAGCTTCAAAGCGGGGACAAGATGGGCCAGCTGATGAGACGGATCAAATTTCTGGCAAAATGGCGCCCACGCCTACTTTATTTATATCGGGAGATATCAAAGGCCTTCCATAGAATGTTCTTCTCCAAAAAAAAGGTTAAAGTTGGGCTGTTCAGTTCCAAACGGGTTACGCCCATCTCTGGAGCTACTATGAGGAAGCTTCTAGCAGAGAGGAGGGAAAGGTCACATGCATTGGGCAATCCATTGCCCTGGGAGAGCCACGGAAAGTTTCCAATGCAGGCCTATCCCTCCCTGGCTACCATTCCGAGAGAAGGTCCTCGTGTATTTCACGGATGGCTTCCTGCAATTTTTATTTCTCCCACCCCTTGCTAGTGGCTGGGTGACCTTGACTTTGGAATTGGTTTCCCAGATGTGAGGTGGTGAGGAGGCTTCTCTTCCTCTGTTGTGACTGAGAAGGGCCTGGCAGGACAGCCTGGAGCCTGCAGGCCTGCTCAGAGGCTCCAGAGCTTCCTTCTCTACTCTTCCCCCACCATGGGCTTTGCCTTTGGCTACTAAGCTGGGTTAGTTCCCCCTCCACTCTGCCTGTGGCCAGATGAGGCTGTGTGCAGTGGCTGGTGAGAGCCCGGATTCCAGGTCTGGGTGAGTCATGGTTGGGACCCAGGCAGGAGTAGGGCAGACAGAGCATGCAAGGGCCCCAGACAGGAATAGGAAGAAGGTAGGGGAAAGACAAGAGGAAGATGAGAGAGGAAGGAAGGAGAGTGTGGCTAGGGAGGCCAGGGGATGGCATGGGCACCACGCTGTGGCTCTGAGGCAGAGTCTAGCCAGGCGGGACAGTGGGGCACAGACCACAGGCTGCAGAGCCTCACTGCTGCAGTACCTCAGTGGCTGTGGGGCTGGCATGAGGGGGTTGTCCTGTTCCCTCTGGCCACCCCAGCACTGGCCATCAGCTCCCCTGCAGAACACAGGCTTGTTAGTCACTGGCTGCTCAGTACCAGGGACAATACTGGGGCAGGGGGCAAATGCAGGGGTGCCAGACGAGGTCAGAGTTCCCTTGCCCTTCACTTGGGCTGTTTGGAGGATCCCTTGAGGTAGATCTAGGTTTTGGCCTGAGGCCGATCATTTGCTTGTTATGTGTCCTCAGGCCATCGTCCCCTCTCTCAGAGCAGAGGATGGGCATCTCTGCTTGGACCTGGGGGAAGGGTGCCTTGTTTTGGAGCTGCAGGTCTCCCTGGACTGTCTCCAATAGTCTGTGGCTGTGGCTACAAGTGGGCAGAGGACAGGGTGTGGCCAGCTCTGACTCACGGCCCTGCAACCAACCTAATGGCAGCTGAGTTATATCAGGGAAACCCCACCAGTGAGGGCCTGGACATACCAAGCCCCCACCCCTGGGGTCCTGCTCTACAGCGCACCCAGAACTCATGATCCCTCCTCCTGGCTGTGGCAGTAGTTGATTAAGGCAAAACTTGGATCTGCTTGGAAAGAGGATAAACAACCCACATTCCAGAAGGGATTGTCTCTGCTCATGGGAAAG